TGTGTGTATGTGTGGTGTGTGTATGTGTGTGTGTGTGTGTATGTGTGGTGTGTGTGTGTATGTGTGTGTGTGTGTGTGTATGTGTATGTGTGTGTGTGTGTATGTGTGGTGTGTGTGTGTATGTGTATGTGTGTGTGTGTATGTGTATGTGTGTGTGTGTGTGTGTTTGTAGCATTTCATTTTTTCGAATTTTGAAATTCTGACTTCAGATTCGGTTAGAGGACTACTAATAATGTATTGAAAAGTTTCATTAAAGTTTTGATATGTCTTCGGGAACATAGACAAAATGGCGGCCAAAGTAAAAAAAATTTTAAGAAAAATTTTTTTTAAGTATAGATTTGAATAAAGCATCAAAAACAAGAATAAAAAATATACATTAAAATTTTGATATCTCTTCGGAAACAAAGAAAATGGCGGCCAAAGTAAAAAATTTGGTAAAAATTTTAACGTTTAGAATTGTAAATTGCATTAAAAATATGATATAATATATCAGTATAATTTTTTTTAAATGGCGGCAAAAGTATAAAAAATTTTAAGATTTTTTTTTTAAGTATAGATTTGAATAAAGCATCAAAAACAAGGATAAAAAATATGCATTAAAATTTTGATATCTACGGGAACAAAAATTATAAATATAGATGATTATTTTGTCATACTGAATCATTTGATACCATACATGACAATATTTATATTATGTATATTTGACCAGTTTTTAAATTTTTATATGTTATTATTTAGCCGCTATAATTATACAAACTAATGGTTTTCTATGGTATTCAAGTTTTTTTTCTGAAAATGCTTTCTAGCATTCTTAACTGGTTTTACTTAAAATGTATAGAAAATATTTTAATTAATCTAATTATTGCAATTTACTACACAATTGAATATAAGAAAAAAATTATTTCTAAAATATCTGCACTTATTATAATACTATGAATTTCTGAAAATGATTTTAATGTTTATAAATAAATAATAAATTGTTAAAAAATTTCTATAAATATTATTTATTAAATTACAGTACAGTATTATAATTATAATTTATTATATATACAAAACAGTTCATTTCAATTATTTTGTTTATTATTTAAAAAATATTGGTTAGCTTTAGATTAGTATTAGTTTTTAATAAAATATTTTAAATAAAACAATTTATAAAAGCTCAAAAAATTATAATATTACAATTTTGTTAGTGTAAACAAAATTATTAGATAACGGGATGTTTACTAATATTTTTAATAATGTTTTCTGCTATTGTATAACAACTACTATTATATACACAATCTATTTAATAAATATTTTACATCAACTAATAGTTAGTTGTTTTATTTGAAATTTAATTTCATGTTAGAAAGTAGTTTTAGTATTTAGTTATTTTATTTTATAAAACTTATATTATTTTTTGTTTAAATATTATACTAATTATTAGTATAAAAATTAAAGATTTAATACTACAATCAGGTATTATATGTTTTATTAATTTATATAATTATTATACTAATATCATAATAATTATTTATAATTTATTTATAATTAAAACTTTCTCAAAAATTATTTTACTTAAGTTAAAATTTACATTACTTACACTAACTAATAGTTTAATCAAGTAAGCCTAAAGTTAATATTATTAAACAAATAAAAAAAATACAAATTATATTTTTTTTGTTGATATAGATATTAGAAATTCACAACAACTTCTACCGGATATTCTGCTATTGAAACCAATTATATTAATAGTTAATTGCAATTCATTGCAATCACGATATGTGTTGTAATTGTCATACAATTGAAGCGTGTGTTCAATGGCCAGACATTACAGGACAGGACTAATGATCACGAAATAGTTTATTACAACAACAACGACAACAACAACAACAACAACGACAACAACAACAGCAACGACGGCTAAATTTATTTATTCATTTAGTTAAATATATATTTATTATAATACAGGAATCACGACAAACAAAATTGTTTATTACAATTAATGACATTTAAAAAAAATTATTGATTTAATTTATATTAATAATAGTATATAATCTATTTAAATCTATTGTATAATTATTATTATTAAAAATAGTTAACCATTTAGTTAATAATAGAAAAAAGTTTTATAATACAATTATAAAATGTATAATTATCTTAATGATGTATATATGAGTTTATTTTACAATAGTTTTTTACCCTAATTAAATAATTAATATTAAAAATAATAAATTATGAAATAGTAAAATAAACGCAAACATGTTTATTTATAAAACATATATCAATAAATAATATCTATGATATATTTTTTAATCATATTATATAGTTTTAAATGATTATTATAATAACAAGTATATATTAAACACAAAATTTGATAATTAAATAAATTTATTTTTTACTTTAATTAATAATTGAAATACTAATAATTTATAACTTAAATACTAATAATATTATAACTACATAACACATTAATTTACAATATTAATATATATTCTCATTTTTTAGTTAGTATTAATTTTAATATTATATTATATAAACAACATTAAAAAAAATAAAAAATTTTACTACTTTTTGTATTAATATTTTGATATTTATATATTTTATAATTTAAATATAATATCAAGATAATACAAAAATACTTTTGAATGTTTAATATATATATATTTTTTATTATAATTATCAAATAATTAATATAACTTTAAAATAATGTTAATATAAAAATTCTTATGAATAACGTATTAATATTTTGTTAATATTATTATTATTTATTTGAATATAAAATTAATATAATATATTAATTATCAATATAAACAATTAAATGACTAATCATTTAATTATTTTGTTTGTTATTAAAATTATTGGATAATTTTTTTATAATATTAGTTTAGTTTATAATACACTATATTTAAAACAATTATTGAAACTTAAAATTAGTATATACTGTATATACCCCCCCCCCCCTTACTTAACGATATATATATATATATATATATATATATATATATATATCAAAGTAAACAAAATTATTTGAAAAATAGGATGTTTACTAATCTCTATGTTTTTTGAAATATTATAGTATTGTATATCTGATATACTATATCATATACAGTTATATATATATATATATATATATATATATATACAGTATATACAATCTATTTAATTAATATATTACATGATCTATAATACTTGTTAGTTGTTTTTAATTAAATATTTAAAAAATATTAATAATTTATTTAAGTTAACTAAATATTATAATAAAAAGTCAAATCTCTACAATAAACTAACAAATAATTCAACAATCATTAAAATAAGTTTTAAAATTTTTGTTAATTTTGCTTTAATTAAATATATATATATATATATTTAATCAAATATTTCTATTATTTATATACTATTTACATTCAATAAATTTATATATCGATAGTTTATTATTATATATCATTTTATTATAAACATTTTATTTATGAAAAATTTATCTATTTATATTTAGTTTACTATATATTAGAAAAATACAAATATTCTTGTTTTTAATTTTATATAAAATTAATAAATTTTATTTTAGACGACAATATTAACAGAATTCAGACCTATTTCCACCAGAAATTTTTATTATTGAAACCGATTATTATAGCAATAATATATCATTGATTGCAATCACAATATGTGTTGTAATTGTCTTGAACTTGAAGCGTGTGTTTAATGGCCAGACATTACAGGACAGGACTAACGATAATTTTTAAATACTTGTCATATCTAATCCCTCAAAATTTTGTTGTTGTATATATCAATGAATGCAATCCACGGCCACTCAAACGGTTGAGCTAACCGTCCGTTTTGAACATTTGTCCCAACATTTGATGACCAGTTAAGACAGTGTCCGCTCATCAACAGTGACTGACTATTGATACCACACTTGTCCTCTGTTACCGACGGGTAGTGTTTGATACGTGAATGTAAAGCATTGGTTAACACAAAAAAAAATTAATTATTTAAATAAAATATCATTTTTCAAAAGCCTTAAATATGTTAAATGCAATTTTAAAATATTTCTCATATTAAAAATGATAAATTGAAATCTCTTACTATTTTAGACTAATAACACTTTGATTATTATTCAATTAACTTTAAATATTATATTGTGATATAAAGTTTTTTTGTTGTTAAACTTTAAACATATTAAATATGATATTTAAAAAAAAATTTATTAACTTGAATAAATTATTGGATATGTCAATTTCAAATATTTCAAATTTTTTAATAATTTATAATAATATTAAATTAATATCTTTCGTATTATTATTTTTATTATTTATTTAGATTATTTAGTTATAGTATTACTAGTGATGTTACGTAACACTAGTTAGCGTTGGTATCATCTAATAGTAGTAGTAGTAGTAGTATTAGTAGGACTGGTAGTTGTAGTGATGCTGATGGGAGAGAGAGAGAGAGAGAGAGAGAGAGAGAGAGAGAGAGAGAGAGAGAGAGTTTTGTTGGCTTATGCTATAGTAGTAGGGGTTTTGAAAGCTAAATAGAGAGAGAGAGAGAGACTGTTCACATCCATCCATCCCTACATACATACTGTACATCCAAACTGATGCATACATACAGATGCTCTCAATAGTGTTGTGTGTATGAACTGAACCCAACATATTATTATTATTATTATTAGTGACTCTGAGACTTACAAACTATAATAATAATAAAAAAAATAAATATTTGTTTCACAACGTGTTTTTAAAAATAGTAACTTTTTTCCTACTAATTAATTTAAACTCTACACAGTATTTAAACCTATGAGTGCAATATATTTTTTTTGTTGAGGTGACTGTATGTAATTGTTTTTATTGTTAAATAAAAGTGTTTCAAATTTAAACTATAAATTTAAATAATAATAATAATAATTAATATTTAGAAAAAAATTTGATTAATAAGAATATTCTGGACTTAATTATTATTACAGTATTATTATTATTAGACAACTTTTAAAATGTTTATTTAGAGTTGTGTTGGGAAAAAATGTGAAAAATGTGATTATATGCTAAATAATTGGTAGTTTATATGTAGTTCAGTGAAAGTGTGTGTATGTGTTTGTGTGTGTGTGTGTGTGGGTGGGTGAGTGAGTGTGTATTTTTTAAAATAAATAAATATAAAAAGTGTTTAATTATGTGGAAGTGCAATAACTAATATCCATCAAGCAGAGCACCCACCTAAAAAAAACCTATCAGCAACAACAACAACAACAACAAAAAATGTTATATCATTTAAAACAATGACTTTATTATTTAGATATAAATTTTTGTTGTCATTATGTCTAATCATTTGGCAAATTGTCGTACAAATTAATGGACTTCCAGGTGTCATAAAAATTGGTATGTATTGTATTAATGTGTTTCAATTTTTTTAAAAAAAAATACTACTAATAATAATATGTGATATTAAAAAATATTTTATTTAATTAAATTAGATTATTATTTTACTATATTATATACTACTGTATGGCTTAAAGTTAATTTTGTATTAAACAGTTAGACTTTATATTACATAATATAATAATTAGATGTTTGAAAGAAAATTGATATTATTATTATTATTATTAATAAATTTATTGAACATATAAACTAACTGTATATTGACATTTAATATAGCACATATATATATATATATTAATATTATACTGTCAAAAACATTAATAACATAGCATAAACATTAAATATGAAAGCAAATTAATTATATGTAGAAAAATTGTTGCCATAGATTAACATTAATACTATTTAGTATAAAACTTATGCAACTTATATATACAGCTAATCGTTATTACTTATTATTAATTGTAAACTAATAATAATAATAATAGTTTTTATAATAAATAAATAATATAAATTTACACTGATACAAATTATATATATATTGGTACAAACATAACAAAAAATTTCAAAAAAAATAATTTAATTTTTTATATAAAATGGGAAAAAATAATTTATTATAATTCAAAATTAATAATTAATAATTTAACAAAAAAAATAATATTTTAGTAAAAAATAAAAAATTTAAATATTTTTAATTTTAATCCCCTCCCCCCTCCCCCACCATATCAAYCAACCCAAACAAATAGGCGGTATCTTCGAGTCGGGCGAAACTGAACTGATCGACGCATTCAAAGCGGCCGTCGATCGGGTCAACAATGATCGTACTGTATTGTCCCGCAAGCAATTGATGGCCAGAGTGGAGACCATCAAACCGCACGACAGTTTTCATGCGGCCAAATTGATATGCAATAATCTGGTCAACGACGGTGTTTGGGCGCTACTCGGTTCGGAATCGCCGGCCGTCGGTTGGCTACTGAGATCGTTGGCCAACAATCTGCATATACCGCATCTGTCGGTATTCTGGGACTATCGAACCTATCGTCAGTGGCCAGCAGTTCATTCGTCATCATCGTCGGTAGCCGGTAGTGGTGGTGGTGGCCAGAGCTATCATCACGGATCGACTACGGCTGCTTCTATAGCCGGTAATGGTGCCAACTTTACCATCAGTTTATATCCCGAAGCATCCGTACTGAGTCAGGCATTCATGGATTTGGTACTATCGAGAAACTGGAAGTCATTTACGCTGATATTTGAACAAAACGATGGTCTAATCAAACTGAAAGATCTGTTAAGGATTACCAGTCATCCGAATATGCGTCGGGTAAAGATGTCGATCTTGCAGTTTGATCCCAACTATCCCTATGATCCGAAATTTCAATACCAAAAACTTATCAAAGATGTCCATAAAACTGAACATAATATTGTCCTGAGTGTCAGCAATGATAAAGTGATTGAATTGTTAAGACAGGTATAAATCAATCATAAATAATAATAATAATAAATTTAGTTTTTAAATTATTAATATTTTTTTTATTGGTATTTAAATTTTAAAAAAATATATATTAGTTTTTTGTAGTTTTAATTGTATAGTGTTTATAATGACTTTTTTTTAATAAATTTTAAGATAGTTTAAGATATATATTTATTTTGTTTGGTTGTTGTCTTTTATTTTGTTAGTGATTTTTAAAGTTAAAGTTAAACACTATTTAATAGAAAATTATAAATTAATATTAATTGTTTTTTTTTTGAATTTAGAATTAATCTGATTTTTAAATTTATTGCTTTTAATTATCTGAAAAATTATTTTTATATTTGTTGTTGTTAGTTAGTTGCATCTAATTAAACGTTTAACTAGTTTTTAATAGAAAAATAATAATAAAGAAACAATATATAATAATAATAATAATAATARTAGTATATATACTATAAGTATTTAAAAAATCAATGATATATAACTGTATATATATGTAAAGTACAGTACAATAGCATACAGAATATACAGTATTTTTATAGATTATATATATATATACTGTATGTAGATTATATAGTGTATATAAAATTATTTTGTTATTTTGAATTTTTATTTAAATTATATATACAATATATATATAATTTATATTTAAATGTTAGAGAGCTATCTGTTTGATTAATTGTAGGGCAATAATTTAGTTTTGTGTTTAATTTATATATATACTGTACAGTATATATATATACAATATATATATATATATATATAATCTGTAATTTTATTTATTTATTTTTATTTTTGATCTCAATGTATATATATAGGCGGCACAAATGAAACGATTATCAGAATACGACAATTATCTGATCACAAGTTTGGTAAGACATTTAAAATCATTAATATAATATACTATAATATAATTATATATATATATATATAAGTAAAAAAAATTAATAGTTTTACTTATATAATAAAACTATTAATTTTTTTACTTATAATAACTAAATAAAAGTATATAATCATCAACAACAACAACAACAAAAAACAGTAGCGTATCAATCATATAATATATATATAAAAAAATAAAATTTATAGATAATTTTGCCAATTGTTTTGTTGTTTATTTATGTTTTGTTAGTTAGTTAGTAATTTATTTGTATACAATTAATAATATATATTATTTTTGATTTTTGGTTACTGCTTTAATAGTTATTAATATATTTTTATAGTAAGTTTAATGACTTAATCAACAACAAATAAAAATTTATTTTTTATTGTTATATAATCTCTCTCTCTYTCTCTCTCTCTCTCTCTCTCTCTCTCTCTCTCTCTCTCTCTCTCTCTCTCTCTCTTTCTCTTATATTAATAGTTATTATGATTTTCTCTAATAATAACTTTTATTAAAATTTTGTTGTTGTTTTGATTTTAGTAATTTATGAATAAATTTTTATATATATAAACTAAGTTATTATCTTATATGAGATAATTTTATGGGAAAAAAGATTTTACACATTTTTTTAGAGAATATTCTTATAAAAACTTATTTTTGTTTTTATTTTTTTTTATTTTTAACACATTATATATATATATATTATATACTGTATATAGAGTAGACCATAGAGTACAGTACCAAAAAAAATAGTTTAATCAAAATATTTTTTTATATGTAATATTATATATATATATTAAGTAAAATTTATTATATACTGGAAAGTTTACTTTTCTTATAGAAAAAAGTTATAATTTAATATTTTTTTCGTTGTTGATATTATATAATGTATATATAWATATATATATATATATTGTATATAAAGTTTATAAACATTAACATTAATATTGTTTAAACTTTTCTATACATTAAGGTATTAATGAAAGTTAATTTTTGTCAATTAGTGTGTTAGTAGTAGACAATTAAATACACCAAAAAGTTATAATCATTAACCTAAAGTGTTAGACTATATTTTATAGCCTAAAAAAGTTTGTTTTTGCAAACAACGACAACAACAACAACAACAAAAATCAAACAACAAATTAGATAAAAGTAGTTATATGTGTCCAACAATTAGAAAAACGGAAAAAATATATAAGACTTTACTTTAACATTAACTGTGAATTTAATTTATAATAATTTACTTATAATTAAATGGAAATTTTTCTAATTCAAAAAATAAATAAATAATTTATTGTATATATATATATAATATATATACTGTATACTTAAACTGTGTGTTTATAACCAAATAAATTATTTTAATTTTATACTTGATTTTTATTTATATTACTGTTACTGAATCTATTGAATATATTTTTATTTATACCACATATTTACACACACATATATATATATATTTATATATTGTATATAATGTATTATTATTATTATACATATACATTAATATATATATAGAAAATTGCTAAATAAAAACTACATATATATATATAAAAGTATTATATATATATATATATATATATAAATTTATCTAAATAGTTAATAGACAGTGGCATACATTAGACGTTTAAAGGCTATTAAAATAATAGAAAAAATAAATAAATACAACTCAACATTTATATTCATTATAATTACCAATACTATTAGCAATTAATTTCAGTTTATTTGTTTTAGTTTTAGTTTTTGCAATAGTCTTATAAAAATAATATCATTATTTCATATGTCATCACACAAACTAGTGTAACAAAAACTTATTTATTTATTTATTTTTTTACTTAATATATTAATAATATAAAGTGTTCCCAATTGTTTGTCGCTAAAAATAACTGTATGTCTTAAATACAGTATATATATATACAGTTTATATTAGTATTTTAATACATATTATTTTACTATTATATTTTGTTGTTGTTGTTATTGTCGTACAAAATCACTATTACTATTATTTTTATTGTTTTCATTGACTATACATTACAATACAGACACAGATAGTATAGTAGACACTATTTTTTTTTGTTGTTGTTATCAATAAGTTTGTTTAATGATAGGGACAGTTAGTTAGTTAGTTAGTTAATAAGTTAGTTAGATGATGATAATGGGAGGGTTGTATAGGGGGGACGACAGTTATTTATGATGTGCTTTTTCACACAYACACATTAAAACACAAATACATTAGGAATATATATATAWAAATAAAAATTGTTTGCATTTATTTATTTATTTATTTTTTTTTGGTTGATGTCTACAACAAAATTGAAGTAAAAWAATAATAATAATTGACATACATTTCTAGTGTTTAAGTGTAATGTTTAAGACATTTACTCACGTATTTCAAATGCAAACACATAACTACTAAAATGTTTGTTGGATATGGATGTGTGTGTAATCAATACACAAATAGATATATACATATAAAATAAAACTTTTAGACATCTCATCCATTGACTGACACATTGGTAATGCCTGTTATATACMACTATAAGTATATATCAAGTATTATATAATATACAGTATGATTACAATACTTTTATATATATAATATTAGGATGTGATCATCAATAAGACATAGTAGTAGTAGTAGTAGTAGTGAAAGCAAAAAAAAATACATTTGACTTAACAACACGTAATGAAAATGGCAAATAAATAATAACAACAACAAATATATATATATTAATATATAATATAATATTAAGTGATTTTTTTGCACTTATCATAGTATAAGAGAAACCGGAAGTAAATGTTTGAATAATGTTTGGCCCGTTATTTACTACTGTATAATATCTACAGTATATATATATATAAAAATATATTATATAATGTATTACATATCACTTGTAGGCCTCTAACTAAATCAACAACTACTCACTCACTCACTCACCCACTAAGTCTATATTGATGTTGATATTTAGCGTCTTTATATGTGGTTTATATCTGTATAATATGTGAATTGATGTCTAAACTTATCATTAAGCATAAAATAATATAYATATATATACACACAAAAACATTGACATATTTTTTTGTTCAGAGATATATTTTTTTGGTAATTATTTTTAGGAAAATATGAAAACATAGGTTTTTTTTCGTTAACTTTCGTTTTATTTTTCTTAATCATATTTTTATCGTATTTATTATATTAGATAAATTGAATTTAAAATCAAAATATTTAATGTGATTATATTTATTGCAATATATATATAAATAAAAAAAAACTTTTTTATCGTTTACCGCAATAGTTGTATTTATTATATAAATAGTTTTCTATGATTTATAGATATTAGTAAAATTTAAATAAATATATATTATATATATTTATAATGTATATTGAAATAAATAAATTCTTTAAAATAGTTTATATACATGTATTGTTTTAATATGTATATATATTGCAATAAAAAATAAATAAATCTAAATAAATAAATAAATAAAAACCTTTGAATTTTATTGATTTTGCTATTTAATAAATTTGTGACAAAATTTATAGAATTTAAAAAATAGATATTTGTTTTAATAATAATAATAATAATAAAATACATTTATACATATATTTGGGAAAATGTACTATTTTTAGCAATATTACGATACACATTATAACCTCAATGCTTTTTTTAATATTAAAAAAAATAAATATAATTTATATAAATTGAAAGTACCCGACAAACAAAATATCTAAATTGAATTTGTATTTTATTTTTTTTTCATTTGTATTCTAATATATATATATATATATTATAGTATACACTCTATATCTATGTTTATGTATAATAATAATATATTGCATATATATATATATATATATATATATATATATATATATATATATAAATATATAAAAATTGTTTGATACAAACTATATATATATATATATATATATATATATATATATATATATATATATATATATATATATATATATATACAGTATATTTATATTATTGTTTAGAGAATTATGTTAGCAGTAATAGAGATATTTATTTTTAAGAAAATAAAAAAAAATTTTAACTTAGAGTTAAAGAAAAAAATATAACATTTTATTTTAGAAATTACTGGTACTATTTGGGTAAATAAAAAAAATACTTTCAAAAATGCTATATTTTTTGTTGTTGATGATTTTTACAACAAAAAAAAATAACAATAATATTTTTATTTTAAAATTTTCCTTATATTTTTTTCCAAATGACCAAAATAAAAAAAAAACTTTTATTTTTCAACAATATTTTTAGGATGATTTCTATTATTTTATATATTTAATTTTGCTATTTTATTTTTTATTGATATTTATCGAATTTTCACAAAACTATTTTTGTCACCAAAATAAAAAATCTTAAGTATTTACTATTTTTTACTTTATTTTATTATATTATTATTATTATTTACTTTTCATCATAATTTACTTTTCCAGTGGTTTTAACTTTCAATTGCTTTTTGTGTAAATATCAACTGAATTATATGAAGTATATATTTTTAAATGAAAAAAATTATATATATTTTATAACTTTGAACATAAAATAGTTTATAATGTTGTCATCAATTTAAGCTTAAGTTATATATRTATTGTTAGATAGTAATTGAAATTATTTTGTTTAATGAATCAAATTAACATATTACTCGTATTATTCAAGATATCATATATTTATATAATATATATATATATACTGTATATATATTTAAATATAAAACACATATGTTATATAAATAAAACTTGACACCTATTAATTATTGTTATAAATATATACATATATAGTATATGTACAATATATACACAATATATACTGTATATAATTGTTTGAAAACAAAATTTCTATTTTAATTATATATCTAAAATATCGTAACCAAAATAAAATAATATGCAAATAAAATTAAATATGTCATATGATAAATATTATTATTATTTATTTGAATAGTACAGTATCTAAAAATTATCTTCAA